AAGTACCATACGCGTATATTTGCAAAATTGGCAGTTAAAAGAGTTTGGCTTAGCACACATGAACAACAATGTTCACAATTTGCCAAAAACAACAGTAATTGCTAAGATAATGGAACTCAGTGTTCTAAGTAGCCATAGTAAAACTGCTTAATTTGTTTTCAAACGCGACCACCGCTAACACATAAAGGTTTACCACTTAAAGGTCATATTCTGTGTAGATAAAAAGCGAAGCGTCCGATACGAAATATCAAGTTTCTATGTCAATCTTCACGGGTCAGTATAAAGACAAAATAAGTTTGATGAACAACTGATTGTTTGGCGATTATCAAATCGCTTAGGCTAAGTACAGATGGCCATAGTTTCGACACCCAATGTGATTGCATTTTAAGTACAGATTTTAAGTAAATTTAGGATTATCTTTGCGTAAATCATGAATCAAAAACAAAACAAAATGTAGTTGGAATGAAAATTATTAAGTTTTGACCGCAATAACTCCTTTGTCTTGTTATCGCTAAACTGGAAAACTTTGCTTGCTGCAGCGGAGCTTGTTAGATTCTTGATAAGTTCTTGGCTGCGGTAACTGTTCTGACTCGTCAAATTACTAAGTATATATAACCTAGAAAACTACATTTGCTGCGCGCGGTGGAGCTCGTTAGATTCTTGTGGGTTTTGGGATCTGTAAAAGCGGGAAAGCCTAACGAGACGGAAGAGAATAAACACAAACTTCCCTTAGATTAAAGTATGATACGATCAGAACTTAATTTTATGACACAGAGTAATGAATTTACCCATCAATTGGAGAGCAGGCTGCAATTGACAGCTTACAAAGCACTGCCTCTCTTTTTTTCGCTCTGCCCTTCTATCGTACCCGTTACTTACTAAACCTAAATGCCTTGGAAATCAGTGGTAACGGAAACCTTGCATGAAGGCGAGTATCAACAAACGTTACCAGCGTATAAGGTGGATCTGCGTTCTTTTTAAACAGTTTTTTGTGCGCAAGGTGATAACTTTCCTTCGTCCCAAGCTCCTCGCGGTCTTACCGCTCATCGATCTAACGTACACAAAACCGCTAGTTACACAAGCTAAAACAAAGGTTATGTAATCTTTCGATTACTAATGCTAAGTTTCTCTTAGCTTTAGATGACTTAAACATACGTCTAAGCGTTGTTCATTATAACTACGTTAGTTATACTTGTAAATGCAAAAACTTCTGACTTGGACCCTAAGAGTGGTTCTCAAAATATGGCATTACATTACATTACAGATGGACACGTGGTCCAGACTTCTATTTCACCAACAGGGGCGGCTTTTCAAGGAGAAACATCAGCAAATTCCTTGACCACATTTTGTTCACGGTTGCTGCAGCAACTTGACAAGAGTACAAAAGTATAATTTAAGATCCATAACCTCTGCTATGCTTATCAACTAACAGCCTCGATTTTTATAACTGAATCTCTATTTATAAAGTAGATGTGACTCAGCTAATTGACGGAATGAGTCAGCATCGATGTTCTTGGTGTGAGATTTATGTGATTTTGCAAACCGTCAACTATCCTTTATCTGACCAGTTCGTTCGTCGTTAGCACCTGAGTCGAGCGAGCCAGTGGTTTATTCTTTAGAAAAAAAAACACGACTCCACAAAGCCTTGATTTGATAGTGGTTGCAGATGAGTACGGATTTTTTACAGCCAGAATCTAAGTGATAATTATACTCCTATTTAACATGCGATAAATCCAATAATTGTTTAAATACGCTCCTATATTGAATATACCCCTCCAAGATTTGATGACCTTGCCATTTACGTCAACCCGACAAACCCGTACCTTGAATGGGTCTATATATTCCCTAATTCATCAGCGATATTTTTGCGTCAGTCAAATACCTTGTCTTCTGGAAAGATCGATTGTATTCATACATAGTTTATATTTGTGGATATTTCAATAAGTTTCGCAGCTCTTCAGAAGTTGTAAAGTGACCAACATGGTTGGCAGTCATGAAAAATCAAACGACTTATTGAAATACAAAACTTTTAACTGATTGAATTCTTTTCTGTGGTTATTTACCAAAGAATTATAAAATGTGAAGAATCAATACTCGATGAAATCATTGGAAAGAGGCCTTTAACTTGATCCAAGGTGAAACCTTTATCAAACAAAATTTCGCCCAAAAACTACAAAAAACAATTTTAGTGTCTAACTTCTTTGACGAAGAATTGTGTTGTGATGTTCTATGAGGGCCCGAATGCACAAGAAATTGTGGAGTCTTAGGATCAAGTACAAAAGAATGTTTTTTACTCATTGCAATTAAAAGCGAGTTAAGAAATTGTTCATGGCAAATTAACAAACACTTGTTTCCTCTAAAAATCATTAATCTTTCAAAAACATGTACAAAACCAAGATAATGTGGATTTCTCTTGAGAAAAGCTAACTTGTTAAACACGCAGTCTAATTTCACGTGAAGCCTTTTTTTCTATCCACCATTGCATAGCTATGTTAAATTCGTCAAGGGTCGATGAATAAAACGAATGAAACTCTTGATAAATCTTCGTAATTTATTTTCTTTTGTTAATTGAATATTTTTAGATCTCCTAGTATCAGTTAATATTCATGTAATTAAAATAATAACATGAAATCTTGCAGATGTATGGCAAATTATTTTTTCTTCTGATCCTCCTAACATTTTACTATGTGAAGGGATTGGTATTGGCTACAAAAGCATAGTCAAATTAAAGTTTTGCGCACAGCCTATGCATCAAATTTATGTAATAAAATATTGTATCCTTCTTAAAACTAGTTTATCAGAATAAGAATGAGTTACCAGGTACAAGTATGGCTTTCAAAATGATATTTTCCAGGTTTGAAAAAAGTCACTGCCCACTAAAATCCTCAGTTCCTTTGCCCTGACAGCCCAACCACATAAAAACATTGCCAACAGGAGCGATTAGCGAATTAATGATACAGACAAGAGAGCCTATTCCCACATACCTCTCCTCAATACTGTTGGCTTATTATGGACATGGCATTTCAGACATGGTGTTTATGCCACAAGTTTTCCATTCCCTGACTAATTATTTTGTGATAGTGTTTATAAGCTGTTGAAAATGGTTGGGTTGAAATATAATACAAAGACTTGATCTATTTTATACAGCCAATAACAACATCAACTCAACCTTTATACTAAAGAGGAAACTTGATTGACGTTTGGAATTGATTTCTGTGATGTAAAAATGAAATCCAGGTATTATCTCAAGTTTCTTAAAGACACCCACATTATATGCAGTTACAGCAGAGGTTACCGAATTAAATAACAACAAAATCTCAAAAAGACGTCGTGTATTTCCAGCCAGAGGACATGAAACAAGAATAGCCAAAAGCGAAAAAGTTTAAAAAAATTACAGGTTCAAACAAGAGTTGAAAATTACTTTTCTTTTTAATTTTCTACACTAAACAGAGGAGGTTGAGACATCAGGGAAAAACGGTGGGGCAAGCAGTCATACCTGACAACTTCAAGAGGAGATATAAGAGAAGCCCATACGGTTCAATAGAATATAATTTTCTAATAATAATTAGAATATAATTTAGAATATAATTTAAAAGATTCCTTATCTTCGAAAATTTTCTCAAAAGATCAGGAACAAAAACGAAGGTCTTCAGCTGCTTGAAGCTACCGCTGACTAGCAGGCGTGTTGATTGCTTTGCAAGTTGTGAGAACGTCGTCCCCAGGTTCCAAACCGCGTCAATTCTTCCCTTCCCTCTCAACCCCCCGGACTTGTCCCTAAATCCCCTTGAAGAAACTCTTCTACAGCCACTTTTGAAGAGTTTTATTACAGTTTTTATTACAATCAAGGGCTAGAAAATAAACTAGCAAGAGCTCCGCTTTTAGGCTTGGCTAAATCATTATATTATAAGAGGCGCGGTGGCCTCATGGTTAGTGCACTCGACTCCGGATCGAGTGGTTTAGGTTCGAGCCCTGGCCGGGGTCATTGTGTTGTGTTCTTGGGCAAGACACTTTACTCTCACAGTGCTTCTCTTCACCCAGGTGTACAAATAGGTACCGGCAAATATGCTGGGGGTAACCCTGTGATGGACTAGCATCCCATCCAGGGGGGAGTAGCAATACTCCTAGCCGCTTCATGCTAAGGAAACCGGAGTTAAGCACCGGTCCTATGGGCCACTTGAGCTTGTATAAAGGCTTTACTTTTACTTTTAAATCAATAATAGCAATGATTACTTTGTACCAACTGAAGACGAACGTAAATGCGCGGCTTACCAATAAGGCTGCCTCTGATGCTCTTCCGCGTGGTCACAGCGTGTGTTGAAATGAACCCGCTATGGGTCCCCTAGGTGTGAACATTTCGGATTCGCGATTCAAGTTGCATTTTTAAAAGTTCGGAAATGTGATTTGAGGTTATTATTTTTATTAAACCATACAAACATTTTATTTCTTTCCACGTGAGTTTCTGAGCTTCATCGAAATTAATTTTTACTTTCACTAAGTGGGGAGGGGTAGCATGCGAGACTACTTCCATTCACGGTCCACAATGCAACTTCCCTCTAAGGATCAAGGAATACAACTTCCGTCCACGGTCAACTTCCGTCAACATCTGTTTCACCACAATACCTCATTCATTGCTTCCGGCATGAATGAGTTAAAAATGGACTAAAGGCACAGAAAACATATGAAATACTTTATTTCAGTTTTAAAATAAAATATCATTTTATGCATCACTACTTTTCTACTTTAGATATACTTCTTTTTCTATACTTTAAATCTTAAGAGCGCAAAAAAATACATACTTTTTGTTGTTTTGTTGAAGTTGGATATAAATGGCAGAGAATAAAACAGATCAAATTTTCCGAAATGTTCTTAGCCTAATAAGTAAGAATGTGGCAAAGACAAAAAAATTACACAAAAGCAATTCATTACTCCATAAAACAAGTAACCTTAACGTTAATTCACAATCATCTTTGACAGAGTGGTATAACAGGCTTTTGGTTGCATTCATGTTTTTATTAAAATTACTAAAGGAAATTCCTCGCATAACAATCATTACGAAACCTAAAACGTTGTCATTTTCAGCGCTGAACATGAGTGAGCATAACGCATCGTTCGAACGAGAATCTCTCCTCAAATATCAAAGTTTTTTTCAAATAGTTCCTCTTCATCGCTGTCGCTGTCGCTGGAAGCTGCTTCAGACCCAAGTTGTATTTCATCAGGACACGATTGATAAGTATCAGTGAAACTGCATATTTCTCTCCTTGATCTAAGGATCGAGATAATATTCTTGGCGATGAAAATTGTTTCATTCGTCCCATACTCGACCAACACAACCACTCGAATAATCATTGACACAAAGTTTATTATGGCTGCGGTTATCACCAAGCCGAGTCGAATCTTCTCTCCATCACGAAGGGCACCGGTGGACTTGTAATGTACTGAATGTACAAGCTGCAATGCGGAAAGAAGCAGGCTTGTGCAGGCCAGTGCAATCATCCCTATTTCATTTACTTTATCTATCTTACTGCCTTTTCCTTTTTCGCTGACTACGATGTCGATCATCTCGATGGCGTCGAATACTTGTAGCGTCATAGAGGCACACAGCCATTTGAAGTCTCCGAGGCGTTTGACGTCGTTGTCGTCAGCCGTGTTCAACAATAGAAGAAGAAGAAGTGGTGTGATACACAGTACGGCTTCGAAAATCACTGGTCTGGGAGATCTTTCTTCATTGAGCCTATCTTCGACCAGTGTAAATACTAAGACAAAATCCACTATAAACAAAACAGTATACCCTAGCCAAATGTAAGGGTCATAATGAGGTTTCCTTTTCGAAAACAACAAAATCACCGGGCCTAGCACCAACCTCAATATGCAGTTGACGAAAAACCAAGAAAATACTATAGATGCCAGCACACTAAAGTCCCAACAAAGGTGAACATAAAAGCAAAAGACACCTAACTGAGCCCACCGGAGGATCAACCACACAAAGCGGCCGCAAATTTTCATGCATCGTGGTAACTCCATCCTCGTTAGAACTGATTTTTTTAGTTTCTCTGCAGAAAATGTCAATTTTATCAGCCTCGTTCCCAACCTCAAGCCCAGAGCCTTGTCGGCTCCCTCAGAGGGAGCCCAGCGTTTAGACTTTTCTCTTCGTTCCACTTCCCGCGTTGTTAAATACAATCATAAAAAAAGAAAAAAAACTGACAACAGTGGTAAACGACTCGCAAACAACTAAACGAGTAAAGAAAAAACTTTCTGGATGGATAATTCAATGCACTCCCGACAGTTTTTGATGGAAATGTTTTTTGATAGTACCTTCAGCTTCTATATACTTTTTGACGAAATGCTCGGACAGAATATCTAACCACAATGTTTCGAGTAACTAAGGCCTAAAGATAAATGAAAGAAGAAGAAAAATTATAGATATACTATACAATAAATCTTTCGACAGTTTGTAACACTTGGCATCTTTTTTTGTGACTCAATGTCGTTGGCTTTTTTTACACTTCTATTTCGCCTTGTGTACTGTTATGTTTTACTCAACTACTACATGGAGTATCTATTTAGAAAACAAGCAAAAACACTCTCGAAACGAAAAACATGCGTGATCTCTCGCGCGAGCCAAATGAAACTTCCCATAGTACACGCGAGTTAGTCGTGTGGTACTCGATCCTTTCGTAACACTCGCACGTCTGTGCAAAAGGTTTCAACTTCTGTTTTAAATTTTGCGCTATTCTTTTCTAATCATAGTGGCTATTTCAAATTTTGAAATTGAGAGTTTCCTTTACCGGGTCTTGCTCTCAGTCGATAAATTTGTTTCCACGACTGAGGCACAGAAGGTCTCGAAAAAGTCGGTGATTTCTATACAATGTCAGGAGCCCATTACTTGGAGCGTTCAACTCCTATACTGAGCCTATGTTGCGGCATTTTCACAGAAATGGGCTCCTGACAACGTATATTCCCTCGATGCACACCTTTCGATAAATGAAAAATCCATACTGCAACAATTACAAACCGCACAACTTCGTTTTTCAGCTGGCATTCCAAATTATTAAACAATAAATACGGCATGAGAGACCATGCGTTAAAGCATTGTCTATTAAATTAATTTAATCAATTTTAGACTAAATAACGAGAGATGTCGGTAGGCACAGTCGGCTTTTGATGAAATTTTTCAAAAGGAGTTGTGCGCCTCACAGAAGAGTCATCAGGTTGAAGATCGAATCCTTGGCTACCGGAAAAGACACTTGTTACAAACGGCCAGGTTGTATGTTACAAGATATCGATTCTTATCGATTAATCTGTAATTAGTGTTATGAGGTACTAATGGATCCCGTGACTTTGAAAGGCGTGCATGTTCTGCGGCATGTTTTAAGGAACCTAGAATGATTATATAACTCCCGTCATGCAAACAAGGTAGCAAAGAATCAATTTGTGATATTCAAGAGTCACTTCATCGTATCAAACTGATTCACCCTCACTTTTAGATAACGACTTGGAAATTACCAAACACGTATATTTGCAAAATTGGCAGTTAAAAAAGCTTGGCCCAGCACTCATGAATAACAAATGATGTTCACAATTTGCCCAAAACAACAATAATTGCCAAGGTAATCGAACTCAGTGCTCTAAGTAGTCTAAGTAAAAATGCTTAATTTGTTTTCAAACGCGACCACTGCTAACACATAGAGGTTTGCTACTTTAAAGGTCATATTCTGTGTAGATAAAAAGCTAAGTGTCCAATACGAAATATCAAGTTTCTATGTCAATCTTCGCGGGGTCAGTATAAAGACAAAATTAGTTTGATGATCACAAAGAGCTGATTGTTTGGCGATTACTGAATCGCTTAGAGCTAAGTGCAGATGGCCATGGTTTTGAAAAGTTGTCAATTGTATTCTTAACTGCGCAAGAGAGGCTGCAAGGATGGTTATCGAAAAAGACGTCATATTTATGTAGGGATCGCTGCATGGCTAAATGATGGTGACAAAGCCTTTCGATTTTGTACTACACTCAGCAACGAACAGGCAGCGCAAAAAACTTTCAAGAATGACTAAATGCTTGCTGAACAATCGAGGTAATCTTTGTAACTGTTGGCAACAGTTTGTGTCAACCATTATTTCAAGTTTCACCACGAATAGTTAAGGGCATAGCATCGGGGTATAGAAGTGTTTGCATTTTAAAAGTACTAAATCTATTGACAGGGCTATCATTCGATCAGCCCTTGCAGTCGGTCAGTAAGTGTCAGTTGGCTTTTGCGGTTTAGTAGTACGGTTTTTTAAGCGAGTCAAATATTTGTGATATGAGAATGAACCTTGGTGACGTTAAATATTGTCCTTAAAAAATGTGGCTAAATGAACAATATTTATGCGAATCTACCCTTCCTCTCCAAGAGAGCCCATGATGTAGAAATCCTAGACATAACCTTTTAAGTAAATTTAGGGTTATCTATGTGTAAATTATGAATCAAAAACAAAACAAAATGTAGTTGGGATGATAATTATTAAGTTATGACGACAATAACTCCTTTGTCTTGTTATTACTAAACTGGAAAACTGCGCTTGCTGCAGTGGAGCTTGTTAGATTCTTGATAATCAAGTTCTTGACCTTGGTAACTGTTCTGACTCGTCAAATTACTCGGTATATATAAACTGGAAAATTACACTTGCTGCGCGCGGTAGAACTCGTTGGATTCTTGCGGGTTTTGGGATCTGAAGACCAGTCTAACGAGACGGTAGAGAATAAACATAAACTACCCCTGGATTAAAGTTTGATACAATCAGAACTTAATTTTACGACACAGAGTAATGAATTTACCTATCAATTGGAGAGCAAACTGCGATGAACAGGTTACAAAGCACTGACCCTCTTTTTTCCGCTCTGCCCTTCTATCGCACATCGTTACTTAGTAAACCTAAACGCCTTGAAGATAGCAACGGAAACCTTGCAAAAAGCCGAATATCAGCAAACGTTACCAGCGTATTAGGTGGTTTTGCGTTCTTTATACAGTTTTTTGTGCGCCAGGTGATAGCTTTCCTCTGTCCTAAGCTCCTCACGGTCTCGCCGCTCATCAATTTAACGTGCGCAAAACCGCTAGTTACACAAGCTACAACAAAGGTTGTGTAATCTTTCGATTACTAATGCTAAGCTTCTCCTGGCTTTAGATGATTTAAACGTAATTCTAAGCATTGTCCATTATATCTATGTTGGTTATACTTGTAAATGCAAAAACTTCTGACTTGGAACCTGAGAGTGGTTCTCAAAATACGGCATTACAGATGGACACGTAGTCCAAAACAGGAGCGGCTGTTCAATTTTATGAGTAATAGAAGATACATCAGCGAATTCCTTGACCACATTTTGTTCACGGTTGCTGCAGCCAACTTTACAAGAGTACAAAAGCATTATTTAAGATTAATAACCACTGCTATGCTTATCAATCAACACCCTCGATTTTAATAACTGAATATCTATTTATAAAGTAGATGACTCAGCTAATTGACGGAATGAGTCAGCATGGATGTTCTTTGTGTGAAATTTTTGTTGTTTTGCAAACCATCAATTATCCTTTATCTAACCAATTCGTTCGCCGTTAGCACCTGAGTCGAGCCAATGATTTATTCTTTGGAAAAAAAAAATACGACTCCACATGTGATAATATGTATATATTATAATATGTTTAGATACGCTCTTATATTGAAAATACCCCTCCAAGATTTGACGACCTTACTAATATCATTAGGTATTGTCTGTCATTTACGTCAAACCGAGAAAAGTAAAGCCGTACCTCGAATGGGTCTTTATATTCCCTAATTCATCGGCGAAATTTTTGCGTCAGATAAATGCTTTGTCTTCTGGAAAGATTGATTTTGTCTATACACAGTTTATACTAATGAATATTTCAGTAAGTTTCTTATTGAAATACAAAACTTTTGACTGGTTGAATTCTTTTCTGTGGTTATATACCAACGAATTATTTAGGTGAAGAATCCATACTCGATATAATCATTGGAAGGAGGCCCTTAACTTGATCCACAATAAAACCTTTGGGAAACAAAATTTCGCCATAAAACGACAAAGAGGCAATTTTAGTGTCTTACTTCTTTGAATGCGCAAGAAATTGTGGGATCTTAAGGTCAAACTACAAAAGAATATATTTGGCTCATTGCAATTAAAAGCGAGTTAAGGAATTGCTCGCGGCAAATTAACAAACACTTGTTTCCTCTAAAAATCATTAATCCTTCAAAAACATGTACAAAATCAAGATAATGTGGATTTCCCTTGATAAAAGCTAACTTGATAAACATGTGGTCTAATTTCACGTTAAGCATTTTTTCTATCCTCTATTGCATAGTTATGCTCAAGTCGTCAAGGGTCGATGAATAAAACGAATGAAACTCTTGATAAATTTTCGTAATATGTACTGTTTTGTTATCTTTGTTTTTTTCACTTCACCATTTACCATTTTTCATTTGTGTAATGGTCCTCAAGGGTCAAGTTATGAAACAAATTTAATTCTCTATAAATGAATATTCATTATGTGCACTATTTGATAAACACCGATCTCTAATCCATAATGCTAAGAACCTCTTAATTCAACTGAAGTGCGTTTGAATTGCAAGTTCTTTGGCTGGTTTCCGGGAAAGTTGATCGAGAGTTTTTGAAATGATACCACCAGTTTGATAGAATCAAATTGCTTGGTACACGATTTATCATAAAAAAAAAACACGGTACGTTCTGGCTCTTTTAGGTTAAAATAGAGTTAAGCAAGTTGGTTCAGACAAACTGCTAAAACTAAAATCTGGAAACAAACTTTCAAAGATGTAATTCTATTGACAAAACCTACTTATATAAAATATTGTTATTATTCGATGTTACCTCTTATTTTTTCACTTATCAGTATAAATAGTCATGTTGCGGTTGTCAGGGTTGAACTGTAAACCAATTAAAATATCGATAAAATCTTAATGTTACCATTTTTTCTGTCCATTTATACGCAGTCATGTTTGATTCGTTAAGGGAAGATC